ACACTCACTTGCAATCATTTACACTCACAATCACTCATCACCCTAAACCCAGAACTTCTAAGCTTTGGTCCCTTGATACTTTTGGGAGACTCCTGTAGGTGGTTCCCTAAACCCATTAGCTTAAGGCTAGGGTCACTACATAGAGGACCCAAAATATAGAGGACCCAAAATGTGGTTTCCATTGATCCATGGCTTATTTATGGTGGTTGGCAATCTAACTCTATCAAGATACCCAACCTACCATGTTGCCCCTAAATTCCCCCAAATTGCCCGGATTTCTTTGGGACCCCAAATTTGGCCAAAATCTCCAAATCTAGCCAAAATGCCCAAACTTGTTCAAAAATCATTTCAAACACCTTGAAAACACCCAAATTACCCAAAATCCCCAAATTGGCCAAAATACCCCTCTTTGGCCCAAAATTCCAAAAACTTTATAAAATCCCAAAAATTCCTATAACCTCCAAAATATTCCCAATTTCATTTTCCTCAACTATCACATGACCCAATTTGGTCAATTTAACCATCCTTGATCAAAACCCCCAATTGCCTTTTAAAGGCTCATATTTTCTCCAAATCACCTCAAATGTCTATCCAATTGGTTTCAATTTCCCCAATTTCAATTCTAAACTCAAATTCACTCTTCATATGACCAATGAAGACCAAATACAAGCCCAATTGACCCATGATTTGAACCTAATTTTGATTTAGATCAAAAACCCAATTTTGACCCCATGACTTAGTTCCACCAAATTGAACCCATAGCTCGCTCAATTGTCCACAATTTGTGTTGGAAAATCTTCATACCATTCCTAAAAATCAAATTTAATCTTCAATTGGCCTTGGTAGGATCTCAATTTCATTTGATTTCAACCTTAGACCAAAAAGCCCCAAATTTGCCCCAAATTGACCATGTCTCAAAATTTCACCAAATTGAGGGCCTTAACCCCAAAATTTCCACTCCATCCCTTCATCAAAAATCTTCACAACACCTCTCTTGATAATGTGGACCATTAAATTTGGACTTAGCCCAAGGCTAGCCCAACCTAGACCCATGTCTAGGCCAACATGCCCAAATTGGTCAAATCTCAAAAATCCCTCAAATTGACCTACCAGTTGAACTCAAAATCACTTCAAACCTTTACCAATAATCTTCATAACAATCATC